ATATAATAATATATAAGTGTAAATGATGTCAACAAAAGTTTATGAACAGCCAATAATGCCATGTAATAATAATAATAATTTCACACTAAACATATATGATTTTACACATGCATGTTGATTTTACTTTATTCAATTTTATGCTGCAGTTAGATGTGCTGATGTAAATATTATGTAAATATTCTACAGAAGGCTTTATACCCTTATCTATAACACCAGCTCCATTTTTTCAATCTAACATTTATTTTTGGGTGTGTATATTGCTGTCTTGCATAATTAGTCTTCCACTCTTTTTACAGTGCTTACATGTTAAGTGTATAAGTACATGTCTCAGACCTGTAACAGAAAGCAGAAAGGTAATTACATTAGTTTGCCATATAACATATATAAAACTTTCTTTTAAATACTGAGAAAACTGGAAAGTATTTAGCAGGTTTATTTCTTTTCATACTGTGAATATTATTTTGCGAACTTTGATGTCCACAAATTGTATTTTTTCCATTCTCCTGTGGCCTTTAGTTAGACTCCAAGTTAGCTTATATTTGTAATCAGTGTTTGAGAGCCAAACTGTATGAAAACAACTGTTATAACTTTTTTACACTGTTTATTGCTGTTCCTTGGTTGTATTTAATATGGTGTACAAGCAAAATGAGGCTAAATTTGTTTTCTGAAATGCAGATATGAGTAGCACTTATGTTGTGTTTTACCTTTGAAAATGTTAACCAATATGTTCATTTCACACACGCCTGCTGGTAGGAAGTAAATCCCAGTAAAGTTAGATGTGTAGCAGACGTTGAGTGGTTGTGTACATATTATATTTACTAATGCAAATTATCTGTTTTGTGGCACTGCATATTTGTAGCCAATGTAGCGGGGACTGATGCAATTTCTAAACTGTAGATTTGAGTGTCGCAAATCTCTGACACAAAGCTGTACATAATGTTTGCTAATTTAGTATGTACATATGTCACTCTGAACCAATACTGGAGTTAGATTCTGTGTGTATATAGCTTTATGACTACTAGTAGCACAGAGTGTTGTATATTCTGTATCTGCTAATACACCAAGACTGTAAATATTGACATATGTTGTGCATCCTTTGCTTAGAGTGCACATCCTGGCCAGTCACTGAAATAACTGGCTAAAATGAAAAAGTTTTACAAATAAAGATGACTGATACATTTATATTGTCATAGGCAAGAGTGATTTTTTTAATAGAGTCACTGATGAACATATTACATAACCCAAGTACACAGCATACATTTTAACATCAGTGCAAAACCAAAGTTATCTTAACAGAACACTCGGGGGGTGTAGGTGAAATTACATTATATTCATAAYATTACTACATTAGGCCTCTGGAATGTCATATATTGAGCCCATTTTTTTCCCAGTGCTCCATTCTGTAAACGTCCATTGTCACCTCTGTCCAAGTGGTCATGATTGGCTTCTCTTGTGTTTCAAGAGTGAATTTTAAAGCATTTGCTTGTGTACATACCAACAATATTAACAGGAAATAAAACTCAAATGATAATAATGTTCATTTTAAATTGTAAAAATGCATGGACGTTATGAACACAGCTGTCCTATTTTATTAATAGTGTCAGTTTGTCAAAATGGACTTTAATAGAAATCAAAAGAGGTAAAGCTTAATTTATTTTTGTTTTTGGTTCAATGTGTTAACAAAAGTTAATTTTGTGAACTTACATAAAAGGTTCAATTTGTATAAAAAAAATACTTATATAAGCCACTTTAGAATGAAATGTCCAACATTCAGGTAAACCTTGTTTAAAGAGACAGTTGTTATTATCTTAAGGGGATGGAAATGTTTCTGAAGCCATATTTTTGTACTTGCTTGAAAGAAAGATGTACTTTAATCCAAAGTATAGGATTGTGAAATGGAGATGATCTTAAAAAGGCCAGATCAATGTATATATTTAAGAGACAGATGCAAGTTTTTTGAAGATATATGAAAAATAAGATGTGAAGCAATTTGATTTGTTGTTGAGTTGATGTTTTTATGTTGTTTTTATTTTATTTTATTTTA